GGTAACTCACAAATTTGGTGTTATCATGTTCTCTCTGACCATGGACTTCCTGTTGAAGGAGTTCAGGAAATGCCACTCCTAAATACGTTGTTTTGATACATCAGTTACTTCAAACTGAGGGCAGCTGGGGCTTTCTCTGAACTTCCCTGATCTTCCTACAAAGGGATTCTCCAAAAGGAACTCAATTGTCAAGAATATCCTCCCGAGGAATCTTACGGACCAAGGAAGAGTAACTCTAACCACAGGAGAGAAGACCAGCAGTTGACACTATGCCCAGAGAGACAATCACCTATTCCTTTGAGGGCCCGTTTATCTTTACCCTAAATGTATGCACTCTCCCCTGAATTGCCTATATCTTCCTCTCCTCCTCTAAGGCAGGTCTATAAACTTCTGGATCTCACCAGGTTTGGGGGTACTCCCTTCTATTTCATGCAATGCTCCCATAGATGTAATAAATTCAGATACCTTTTCTGCCTACTGTTAGTTTATTTCATAGACTCAGTTATCAAACTGTCAGAAGATAAAGGTAAGTCTTCCCGATTCCCACCCCCACCATACTGCCAGCTACAATGTTCTAGACTTAGGTTCTGAGGAAAATAGGTGATCGATTCCCCTGCCCAGCAGTCCCTGGCTGAGCCACTTAATAATATGATTCTCCCAAAAGGGAGTGAGTGAAAACAAATTGTGAAATTTGAAACTTTTAGATCATATCCAAACCATAGCCCCAATAAATAATGTACATCCACGTTTTCTAAAATGATACCTCATCAGAAACTATTGTTTGGTACATGTAAGAACTTTTCAACACTGGTGCTTACAAGCCTGAAATCAGTCATTGAATTCACCTGAACTTGAGTTTGTACCTATGTCAGGGAGACAAAAGAACTTGTTTCCTCTACCCTTTTAGGCTTGGTGTCTGGGGCCCTACAAATTGAACAGTCAAACAACAGATTAACAGGAGAAAAGGTTTCATTCATTTAATCTCATTTCTGTGAGTATCTTCATAAGCATATTTCATATGCCTATAGGAGTACCTCACAGAAATGAAATTGAAACTCCATAGAGGCAGTCAGACCCAAAGGCCTATAAACCATTTTCACAAAAGGAAATAAACATATGGAGAAGTTACAAAACAAAGGAGAAGGATTTTGGGTTGTTAGGGATCGTGAACTATGGGAAGGTAAATATATATACAGGAAACTAATGAAAGGTAAGGGTTATTTCAGTAAGGTTTGCTGTGCAGCTTCCTCTCAGACTTCAGTGGTGAAGAGTCTAATTCTGCCCTTCTCGGTCTGAGAAAGGAACAGGGGAATATCTTCACAAGTGGAAGTGTATGCCCTGCTTTTAAGCAAATATGAGGAGGGTAAAGAGCTTCTGTTGTTTATTAATTGCCTTCAGCTCGAAACAATCCTTATGCCAAAAAGGCATATTTTGGGGTGGCATTTTTTTTAATAATTATTTTATTGGGGCCAGCAGGTGGCGTGTTGGTTAAGGGTGCTGGACTCCCAAATGGCTGACTGCTGTTCGAGTCCCAGACCTGGCAGCTTGCTTTCTCTCTCTCTTTCTCATTCTGTCCTTCTCTGGTCAACTTAAAATAGATAAAAAAATAAATAAATAAAGTTAAATTTAAAAAGTATTATTATTATTTCTATTATTATCTATTTTAAGTTGAACAGAGAGGGACAGAGTGAGAGAGAGATAGAGAGAAAGCAAGCCGGCAGGTCCAGGACCCAAACCCTGGTCCAGCGCACTTAACCACCATGTGGGAGGTGGGAGTCTAGCACATTTAACCACCACACCACCCACCGGCCCCAGGGTGGCATATTCTCATCGTCTTCACTTGCATCGTTGTAGCAACAATATCTTCTGAACCATTTGTACCTGTGTTATTTCCTTCTCATCATCCCTGGGCCAGTAATGCCAAGAAAATCCTACTGGTATGGGTTGAAAATCCTCTTCTGTCTAACCAAAAGGTCAATTCTGTTATTACCTTCCAAGATCCCACTCATGTATAAAGGGATGACTACTGTAAAGGCAGTAAGTAAGTAGACTGATGAGAATAGATTCATTGGTCTAGAAGTATATGATGCCTAGCTGTGGACTGATTCCCAAAATTCAGTATTTGTTGAATGCCTTCAAAACCCGAGGTCCTATGCCATAGGCTAGGAAACAAAGATAAATACAGTTCCTGTCCCCAGGGAGTTTTCCTAGTTGAGATCTCAGGTATTTAAACCCTAAGTGCTCTTCAGAGCACTGTAGGTGCCATGATAGCCTGAAATGTAGGATACAATTATTAGGTTGTCAGGAAGTCATGGCATATTTTTCTCTGTAAAAATGCATCATGACTTTCCCAATGACCCAATATAACAGGAGAAACTAAATATTTTTAAATTCTGTTTTTGCTTTACTTTATTTCTCTTTCATATATTTTAAGGATTAACCGGTGGTTGTAGCTTCTGTAACTAATGTAGTCTGTAACTATTGTATCAAATAAGGTAATAAATAAGCCTGTTTACTTAGAAGAAGAAACTATTAGTCAGTTGTTTTAAACAACGGTCACAAAAATTACAATCTGGACTGGGGTCTCAGGCAAGAAATCTTAGATGGAAATATTTACACAAGGGACACAATGTAACAGGTTAAACTGGAACAACTGTAATAATGGTATCATGTATCATAACAGTTACTCCCAGATGCTTAGATCATTCTCATAGAACAGTATAGCTCCAAAAATTTGTCATAGCTTCCCTTAATCTATCTATCGTATGTCACGAGTCTGAGTCAACACATTCAATATCACCATAAGAACAAAAACAGGGTCATAAATGTCACATAAAAAGAAAAGGCAGACAAAACAATTTAGGGAAAATCATGAGGGCAAGAGTAATGCTGAACAGGGACCAGCAGATGGCATAATGGTTATGTTGCTGGACTTCCACGTAGTCGACCACGGTTCGAGTCCTGGGCCCGGTGACATAAAACGCACTCATGCGTGTGCGTGCGTGCCCAAAATCCTGAGAGGAGAATGCAGGAGAAGGGATTGCAGGGTGGCCATCCCCCCTGGGAGGTGATTTCTTGCTTTCTGTCTCTCTGTCTTTCTGGCATGCACACGAGCCCTATTGCAAATAAACCTCTCAAAAAAAAAAAAAAAAAAAAAAGCAACGTTCAAAGCTCAATCTAGAAATCATGAATACTCAGTGGTTGGAGGCCAGAGACAGCAAAGGATTCCAGTGATTCCCCTGTTTCTCCCTGCTTTGTCCCATTCACCTGACTCCTAGTCACTAGCCAAGTGTCAAGGTTGGTGCCCCCGCGGGAAATAACCTGGTTTCTTCGCTCCTTGGTGGAACAGCAGAGCCTGCATCTCAGCTCGGCTGGCTTTTGGTGGCGACAGGTACCTCCTGAGCTGGAGGTTATTTTCTGTGTGTTCCCATGCTATGTCCTGCAGTCCCTCTTGTAGGACTCACACAGCATTGCAACTGCATGTGTCTATACCACTTCTCCAACTACACTGTGCGCATCCTGCGAGCAGGGACTAGATTTCTCTTGACTTTGTTTCTTTATTTGACAGACACATGCCGGACACCTCTTAGTAACAATTCATACACAAACACTGAAGATACAGCATGGGAGGAAAACAATATTGTTCCTACACGTGTGGAGTTCCCATTCCAGCAGAGAAGATGGTCACAAATAATCAATTTTAAGCAAGATCAGAAGTTTGAAAAGAGAAGCCCAGGGTAGTGTCACAGGATAAAGTAGGGGACCTGGCCTAGGCTAGGGATCTTAGGGGGGTATTGCCAAAGGATGTGTAGCTAGAAGACACTCTTGCTTGGCTGGTTTTACCCTTTCGTGCACAATGCTCCCACGTCTACCTTCTAGATCCGATTCTATGAAATTGCCCTCTACATAAACCCAGTGTAGCACAGCTCTAAAGCCCCGCTATCTATCCCTCACTTACTCTTTTTTTGGTAATAAAACATAAGATTGAGCTGGGCAAACAGTCACTCAGATAACGACCACATTGTCCAGCTTCCCTTGTAGCTAGGAGGGGCATAGGACTAAATTACTGCCATTGGGATGTGAGCGAAAGCGATGTAACCAACATCGGATCACATATTCTAGGAGAGGAAGGGGCTCACGCCCACTCTCCATTTCCTGCTGTGCGGGAAATGGCAGGGACTGCAGCAGCTGCCTTAGACCAAACGTAGGCGCCACCACCGAGGATGCACGAGCTGTCCCAGTGTTCGTATCTTGGGATGACCTTAGGGAACAGCATTCTCTGCTCTGTACTCTAGCCTCTCTACAGGTCCTGCCAAGGAGAATGAAACTTCTGGCTTGTTTCAGCCATCGTATATTCGGATAGCCATCAGGGCAGTTGTGCCTATAGCCAAATTCACAAGTCGAGGGTCTGCCTTTTGGCATGTCTTTAGCTTAGCTCAGACTATCAAGGCATTTTCACAATCTGTCTTTAGCTGTGCATAGTTACAGCATGAGGTTGCTCTTTAGTGATTTTGCAGTTTCAATCTATCATGATCCTCATCTAGCTGTCATTTTTAAAATTCTTCCTCCCCCTTTCACTATACTTGCTCTTTCATTATTCAAGAGTTCTAAATATTTTGAGAAAAACAGAATTCTGTGGAGTCATGGAATTCCTTGGTTGGGTCACGATGTCTGGAGAAGATTGAGCCAGGAGAGAAAAGGGAAGTGAATGAGATCTGACATAAAGATGAAACCTCTCATTACCTGGAGCTCAGCTAACCACGGTTCTCATTAATGTGAACACATTCGTCACACTTTGGGAAAGAAGAAAACTGTGGCCAATGTTATTAAAGAGTCATTCACAAAAACCAATCTCCTACAAAGTCCATTTGAAGGAACTTGTCCTAAAGAAATACCATACCAATGTGCAGAGCTACGTGTGTATAGATGTTCACTGTATTAGCAAAATATTGGAAACAACCTCATGCCCATTAGTATGAAGAAGATTTAATAAAGTTTACCTTATTATAGAAGGCAAAGTAGCCACTTCAAAGGAGCATGAACTGTAAATCTTCCTGTAATACATTAACAAAATGATTCTACCGTTAATATAAACAGTAATATAGAAGGATATGTGTGAAATTATTAATAATGGTTACCTCTAAGGAGTAGAATTAGGAGATAGGATAGTTCTCCTATTTTACCATACATAGCTCTATATTTAAAAAATTTTTTTTGTAATGATAGGAATTCACAGTGAGACAGGGATCCTACTTACCCTACTCTTGTCCCTTCATGTTTAGCATAGACAAGATGATCAGTGATAGTGATAGTAATAGTAATAGTAATAGTAATAGTTATACAGCACCTGTCATGTGCTGGGTACTATCCTATAGACCTCATATACGTTAACCTATCTAATTTTCAGATATGTGCTATAATTATCTCCATTTTCCGAATGAGAAGACAGTAGCTTAGAGAGGGTAAGCAATTTTCTCACAGTAGAAGGGATGAAGCTAGGCTTAGTTACAGGCAGTGTGGCTCCAGCAACTGCTCTTAACCACTATACCATGTTATGTTGATTAATTGATAGAATGAACAGAGGAATAAACGAATGCTTGAAGAAAGAAAACACTTCCTGGCTTAGTCTCCAGTAAGTATTAGAAGAATCAGTAAAACAGGAAAGCTCATTCTCAGAGCCTTCGGCTTAATCAGAGTTTTACAATTTATCTTTCATTGCAAGGTAATGGGCTGTTTACACTCAGAGCCTTCCCAGTGCTGAAATGACACTGATGTTAACAGTTGTTGATGAGTGACTGAGAAAAGCTGAACATTTTAATTTAAAATAAGTGAAAGAATTAATTGCCAGCAAATTAAAAGGCTTCATCTGCCATTTCTCTGCCTCTTCTGTCTTCTGCCTTCCACCCAGAACAATAACAAGGGCACCATGAGCACAAGCGTGGCGGGCTGGCTCTGCCTTTCCAAACTGCCTGGTTTTGTGGCTTCTGAAAAAATATCCCCGTGTGTACATTTGGGGATGGAAATACAGGAAAGAATTCTGTAGTCCGAAAGCATCTTTTTGGTCCAAGGGACTAATGAGACTCTTCTCTTAGAGAAAAAGGCTAACGAGAGACTGTGAGCTCCTAGAGCGGAAGAACTACATTTCAGCCCAGTCGTATCCTCAGCCTCTGGCAGAGTGTCTGGCATCTAGTAGGTGCTTTACGTAGGCCAGGCACTCCGAACTGTCAGATCGGCAGAAATTTCTAAGAAAAATAATAAGGACTCCTTGATTAAAATAGTGTTTTCTGGGCCAGCTGGTGGTGTGGTGGGTAAGGTGGCTGGATACCACATGGCCGACTGAGTGGTTTGAGTCCTGGACCTGACGGCTTGGAAAACGCTCTGGGCACATGTGTATGCATGCCCAAAATTCCAAAAGGAGAGTAGGGGAGAAGGATTTCAGTGTGACCAACCTCCTGCAGGGTGCTTTCTCACTCCCTTCTCCCTATCTCTGTCTGGTGAGCACATGCTGCCCTGTAGCAAAATACACACACACACACATACACACACACATAGTGTTTATATTTTTATGTATAAATATTTATATGTATATTTTTATAATTATTTATTTAATTTTATTTATTCATTCATTTATTTTAATTTGACCAGAGAGGGGACAGAAAGAGAGAGAGAAAGAGAGAGAGAGAGGGAAAGTGAGAAAGCAAGCCTCCAGGTCCAGGACTCGAACCATGGTCGACCATGTGGGAGGGTCCAGCACCTCAACCACCATGCCACCTGCCGGTCCTGCCCTATATGTATATTTTTTAATATAGTGCTTTCTGAGTCTAAAAATAACATTAATTCTGCGAATGGATACGAAGCATTTGCTATGTGCAAAGCTCTATGAAAGATACAGGCAAACACAAAAATAGAATTTTTAAGAAACTGGTTGAGCTCCAAAAATATACACATACTTGTCAGCACCGTGACTTTATTTATTTTTCAAATTATTTTATTTAACTTTATTTATTTATTTACTTGCTTTAATTTGACCAGAGAGGGACAGAGAGAGAGAGAGGAAAAGTGAGAAAGCAAGCCACCAGGTTCAAGACTTGAACTGGGGTTGGCCAGGTGGGAGTCCAGTGCCCTTAACCACCACACCACCTGCAGGCCCCAGCACTGTGACTTTAGAGTAAGGAGAATTTTGTAAATTTGAAGTCAAGGAAGTGTAGCTGCTCTTCTCTCTTTTTTAAATTTTTTTGGTTTTTTTTGAGAGGTTTTTGCTATAGGGCACGTGCGCTTGCCAGAGAGAGAGAGACAGAGAGACAGAAAGCAAGAAATCACACCCTCCCCTCTCCCCCCAGGGGAATGGCCATGCTGCAATCCCTTCTCTTCCATTCTTCTCTCGGGATTTTCAGCATGCACACACATGCACCCAGACTAAGTTTAAGCCACCGGGTCTGGGACTTGAACCACAGTCAACTACATGGGAGTCCAGTGACATAGCCATTACACCAACTGCTCGTGCCTCATCTCTCTTTTAAAAATTGTTTCGTTTGTTTAAATTTTCCAGAGGGCAGAGTTCTGAGCGGCCCCTTTCAGGAACTAAGACATCCAAAGAGTTTCTGCCCAGACTCCACCCTCCTGATCCCCAGATTTAGGCAGGGTCAGAGTAATCTTCAATTTCTATGGACTCTGCTGCACAAGGGGAGAAAAATGGTACTGCTTAGAGATTGTAGATCATCTCCTCCTCCACACCTCTGAATGCTCAGATTTAACTCCAAAAATTAGGAAGAAACATACAATCCATCAGATGACCAAAAACCACCACAGAGGCACAAGAAATATGAGAAGCCAAGAAAGTATTTCTCCTCTAAGGAAAAAGAAAAACTTCTCATCTTCCACAGACAAAACAAAGGAACTCATGGAAATGTCAGATAAAGAATTTAGAATATTCATAGCGACAAAGCTGACAGATGCAAGAAAAGAGAGACGATGAACTCCAGATGATGCAGAAAAGAGACAATGAGTGCCAGGAGGTGAGAACGTTCTTGCATGATCTGAAAGAGGAAATACACACCAGAAAAAAGAATCAAACGGAATTGTTAGAGATGAAGGCAGTAATACAGGAAATCAAAACCTCCCTTAAAGTATTAAAAGCAGATTAGATCATGCAGAAGATCACATCTCAGATGTAGAAGATAAAACCTCTGACCTAAAAAATTTCACTAAAAAGACTGAGAAAATAACCCAAAAAGTTAGAATAATATATGACTAACACTAGAAACTAATGCCCAAACATCCAGATATTGGTATCCCAGAAGGTGAAAAAAATAAGCAAGGAAAGAATGGGAATATATATCCAAAGTGTTAAGTGAAAAATAGTTTCAACCATGAATACTATATCTGGCAAGATTATCCTTCATATGGGAAGAAAAGACAAAAAAACAATCTCAAATAAGCAAAACCTGAAAGAAATTACCAACACCCCCAGCTCTCCAAGAAGTCCTGAAGGGAATGCTGTACCAGGAAAACTAAAGTCAGACATACAGAAATAAGAGTTCAAAAACAGCCAGGAAAATGTCCAACTTAATAGTAGTGCACATTTGAATTCAAGCTAGGTCTGGAGATAGACAACTCTCCATGAAAAGTCAGAAGAAAATCTTACAGAATAAAGCCATGCTAGCCGGTTCAACAGGACAGATGACCAGGAGGGGGAAATGAGAGGAGTGCTTAAATAAAAAATTGTACTAGCAACCTGATCCTTAGTGGTCTTAACAGAAAGGGTGCAGAGCATCAGCAGCTGAGACGCTAGCTGGGAGGGATTTAGGAAGGTGTTTGAACAGAATGTGGAGCACTCATACTTGTGTCTTTCTCAAAGCACATCTGCACAAGCACCAACATTCTGAGTGTTCACAGAACACAAATACTGCAAGGGTTCGTTTGTTTCCAATCAGAAATATTTATATCTCATCATACATTTTTCATAAATCTTTGCATCTTAGGGAAGACAGCATAGCGTAATGGTGAGAAGAGTAGGAATTAGTGCCAACCTGCCGGGGTTCAAACCTTATCAGCTGAGTAAGAAAATCTTATGTGCACAGTAGCACAAAGAAACTTCAAAAAGTTCCAGGAATGATAGAATTGAATTACGATTTTATTTTGATGCAAAAAAATTTGGAAATTCATGCATAATTTTTATCAATTATTTATTTATTTTTCATCTTCCCATAAGCATTTATTTTACATATCAAAAATTTTTGCTTGTACTCTGTAGTTCTTGACAGTTTTGCTCATGCTCCGTAATTCTTGACACTAATGTTCAAAATATTTTTTATAATTTTGTTTGTGACTCTATAACAACAGAGACAGTATGATTTTAAATATTTTTGAGAAAATATTTACATGTCAACTACTCAAACTACTGAAAAGCAAATACCCCGCACATAATTCACACATAAACCTTCTTAATTCAGCCCTGCCTATCAAGGGTTCTGTGATATACCACCTGCTAGCAAAGATCAATCTCTTTTTCTTCCTTCAAAATCTTCCTCAAAATTATCTTCTGGTTGTGGCTGTTCTTTTGAATCTCTACTGATTACAATGCTGACTAGAAAAGTCCAGGTTATTTTATGGTACAAATAGTTTCATGTAGCTTCTCTACTTCTCTCTGCCAGTTAGAACTGTTTATGGTGCCAGGCCATCTTTCCAGGAGCTTCTGTTGGCTTACTTGAGATCTATCTTAGTTCCATAGTTTTCTGGTTTAATCTTCAGATGTGACATTCCAGTCAAAGTCTGTCCTATAATGAGTATTTCCAATTTCTGATTCAAGTCAACAGGTATTATTGAACTTATGCAAATAATCATTCTGCCACAAAATAAGGATACTTTCAAATATTTTCCAATTCCAGAAGAGTCAGGAAGGGAGAAAAGTTTATGTTTCCATTTAAAGAAACAAACAAGAGGAAAAAAACATTTTGACAAAATTGCTGAACCTATCAACAGCTTAAAAGAAAGCAAAAACCTTAAATTGGGAAAACAAAGCATAGTAAAGAAAAAAAAATCAGTAATC